CTTCCCTTCCCTTGAATTCATAGTTTCAGTCAGTTCTTCATCAACTCATTGAGATATGTGGCATCACAGTACAGTTCAAGATTCACTTTAATATCGCACTGTTCGAGCATACAATTCATTTATACACCTGAATTCGATACCAAGCAAATTACAATATCAGTGCAAGTAGTGCACACCAAAGATCTGCTGCCATACATCCAACTAGACAACCTTCAAGATCGTGCGTGTATGAAATCGATCGTTTCAGTGTGTCGCGCAGACAACAACTGCCCACGAGGACCGCCAGGGCCTAAGGGTGCACCAGGACCGAAAGGAGCCAACGGTCCGGATGGCGTTGATGGCCTACCCGGAGCAGATGCCGAAGATGTGGAAATTCAACGTGGAACAAGCGGATGTTTCTATTGCCCGCCGGGTCCATCGGGCCCACCGGGAGCTGTCGGTAAAACTGGACCACGTGGACTACCCGGTGCACCTGGACGGCCAGGAGCACCAGGCAAAGATGGCGACCCAGGACCCACTGGAGAGCCAGGACCTCCTGGACCGCCAGGTATTTTCAAGAGTGATTGCTAACCATCATTGAAATACGTGATATTCTTCACGAACAGCTCCAAAATTCCATTCATTTCAAAATGTTAGTTGTTTCGCCGAGCAGTTTAGCAGCTAACGTTCGCACATTGTGCCTCCAGATCAATAGCCACATTTATGCTGACTGACTATCGAGTGAGGAGCTTAGGCTTTCTACTTGATCATCACTGTTCCTTTATCAAACAGAGTTTGCCCATGCTATTCGACCAGATTGAAAATTCAGGCCCTGACGGTCCACCAGGACCACCTGGACCAAGAGGGAAGGATGCTGAACATATCATTGGGGTGAAGGGACCTAAAGGACCACGCGGACCCCAGGGACCAAGAGGACCACCTGGAGACAAAGGCCTAGATGCACCGATTGGAGAAGTAGGGCCAGAAGGACCACAAGGCGAGTGCATTTGCTTCTAAAGTGGTGGCATAACATCAGATGAACTAACACGAAATTGTGTGAACTTAATTTTATCGATCAAATGATTCGCGTTGATCAAGAATGTGAATGTGAAAAGAATTTGCTAAAAATTTCAGGTCCACCCGGGCCAAAGGGACCACCGGGACCCGATGGTGAACAAGGTGAGCCTGGAAACCGAGGACGGCCAGGCAAAGATGCTGAGGTCAGAATTTTTATTAACTCGATGTTATCAACAATCTCAACGGTGTTCTTTGTCAGTATGCAAAAGTCATTTTCACATTCATCCAGAACAAAAATGAATAAATCATTATTCTTGATCCAGTCGCATGTTTCTGGCTTTTTTTTTCATTTTTGAACCTGGTTTGAGAAGCAAAGCTGTGTTTTCTAAGGCCTTCAGATTCCGCTACTATTGATCGGCTTTTTTTCATTGTAATACTTTCTGTATTGTTACTAAATCTTGGTATGAAGCAATTGATCGATTGAGATCACTAAACTAAAGTGTGCTATACCAATTAGGCAACAAATATTTGTCTTCCTGAACAACGAATAAACAAATCATGCGTTTAAGTTTCCACAGAATGCAAAAATCATGAGTTTTAAATTTTGTTCACTGATTCACTGTTAATTTCAGTATTGCCCGTGTCCAGTTCGTACACCAAAGGCCAAAAAGCTTGCTGCCAAGAAAGCGTAACTCAATCGCATCGCATACATTCATCAATTCAGC